TGTCGGTTGATTAAAAACCGACACATATAATATATTATACGTGCCGGTTTTTTAAAGAAAGAACCGACAACCAAATAAATCGAGCAGAGCTGAGCCGACCCGACCCCCGGCCTGCACATCAATCTTATCCATTCATCTCCTCTCCTCTCCTTTCCTTATGCATTCCCTCCCTCTCTCTCTCTCTCTCAACTCTCTCTTTCTCCACCGATCGAATCGGCTCTCTCTCTCTCTCTCCCTCAGCTGAATCGGCGTGCACGGTGGGAGGGGATGCTGCGGCGGCGGTGGGTCGGCGGCCGGTCGGTGGTGGGAGGGGATACTGTGGCCCAGCGGCGGCGCCCTCCCCTCCGCCAGATCTGGTGGGAGGGGAGGTGGCGTCGGCGGCGCGACGGCAAAAGGGGGTGCGGCGGCGACAGGTCGGCGGCGTGAGGGGAGGCGACGGCGGTCCGACGGCCCGGCGGCGGGTCCCTCCCCTCCACCAGATCTAGCGGGAGGGAGATGGCGGTGGCGGCCCGGCGGCAGAAGGGGATACGGCAGCGGCGGCCCGGCGACAGCGACAGCGGTGCTGCGGCAGCGGCGCCCTCCTCTCCATCCGATGACGGTGGCAGCGGTGGAGACGTTAGTGGCGGTAGTGGCGGTGGTGGTGAAGGCAATATGATGAGTGTTCTTGATTCTCGATGAGTGTTCTGGATGAATGTGTTTGAATATGATGTTGATGTGTTCTTGATGAGTGTTTTTAATGAATGTGATGATGTTGACGAGTGTTCTTGATGAATGTGATTTTTGAGGATTTGAGGAAATTTTGAGATTTAGGTATTAGATGGGATTGGCTTGACGGCTCAATGCATCGGCTCGATGCATCTAGCCGATTTATTTTTGGCTCATGGGCGCCTCAAAGGTGCTGTTTTTGGAACCGACACCTTTCACCCTAGCTAATCAGTGCTGCCATACGGGTGCTGGTTGGAAAAACCGGCACCGAAGGGGCTTTCCCACCTGGCACCCTTTACATCTTCTGTAGTAGTGTCTTCCGCTGCCTTCGCGATTTTTTGGCCGCACCGTGCCACGCCCTCGACCACACCGCGCCGCCGATCTAGCCGCGCCTCCCGCGTCGCCGCACACTTTGCAGACAAATAGGGGAAGTAACCCTTATCTAGTGAAGAATAATGTAAACTGGAGGAGGAATGGATGGTGGAAGTGTCAAAATTGCGTAGGTGGCCATACAGTTAATTTTTTTGAAAGAAAAAAAAGTGGAGAGGTGAAAAGGATGTACATAATAAGTATGCACGTAGGTATGCACGTAGGTCAAGGAGAAAACATAACTAGGAGTAGTCAGTTGTTTTTCACACCTTTTTGTATGATCTTCTTAGGCCATTACTTACCCATGATACTATACATAGTTTCGATAAACTCCACATCATCAAGAAACTAGTACTAGACACTACTTTTCCAATGCAAACACCACTATTCCATACTTCAATTTAATGCTATTTATCTCACATGATGTCTTGGATGTTACGTAGAAACCATGTTTCATGCAAGACATGGTTTCTTCTCTTTACTCATTTATTCACTTGCCACATCATTTTTTATTCTCGGTGGCAGCTTATTTAATGCTATAGACACCATCCAGTTATTGGGTTGGGAATGGCCTTAATAGCTTTTAGTGTTTGTCGCATGTCCGAAATCTTTCTTAAGGTCAAATTTACTTACTTCTCAATCGTCCTCGATTACACACAGAAAGTCATGAAATTGCTCACTAAGGGGCCATAAAAATTCACTCTGGTTAAGCAGACTGTGGTGATGGAGTTGTTGAGATGCTTGACTATCTATCATTTTTATTTTGATGTCTACATATGTTTTCACACACATGGTTGTGTTTTCGTGGGAAAATGCATTTACCAACACTGTGGTAAAAGTGCCAATTGTAAATTTTCTGCAACTTCGATAAAACATATATGAAATTTTTCAAAATTAACTACTTAGTTTTTAGTAAATTGGACATGTGGATCATGCATGCAGGCCATGCATCTTTAGTTACAAATTTGTCTGATATAAAGGATCCAAAGTCACAGATATGGTACAGTGTGGTCGTGCCCAGGTTGGCTAGTCGTTGCTTCTTTGCCTCTTGCGAGATTCGACGCCTGTTCAACTTTGTGTTCAACTTTGTGTTCTTGATATCTCCGACGATTAATATCCCTGGCCGGCTCCCAGGAAAAGCAGGCAGTGTCCCTGTCCTTTTTCATTGGCTTCCTAACATGATATCCTCAAAAAAGCAATGTGCTTATTTCCTCATGCCACCTATTCCCAAATGAAGGGTACTCCTGTTAAGCAGTAGGTACTGTTTCATTTATCAGATAGACATTCAGTAAGAGACGAGATAGACCATGTATTGACCAAAAAAAAAAAACAGAGGCTATCTGGAAACACAGAAATGGAAGAGAGGAAGGAGACATAGGAAGCATCAATATATGGGATATTGTCGGTGGTAATAAGTGATGTTAAAGATATTGATATAAATAATTCTCAGTCTCTGCACCGAGTATTCCAGAGTAAGAATTCACAAGGCCATCTTTAATTTTAGGTGTCATTTGAATTTATCTCGACTAAAATGAGTCCCACAACTTTGGCTGTGTACATCCGTTTGGATGTAGAGGCCGGTTTAATCCATTATGTAAAAAAAACGAGTCCCACAACTATAACTCCATAACTTCATCAAGACGATGATATTTGTTTTACACGTCCCAACTCTTAGGGATTATTTTCTTTCAGGTATTACTAATTATTGGTCTTCTAAATTCTTTTCACTCCCCTGAACTTACAAATGCATGGCCCACCTAACTTGTAATAAAATGCAATATAAAGTTACAGTACACTTCATGGGAGCTTTCTTGGAACTATTTTAATTAATTTGTACGATTCTCACATGCACAAACTACCAAAACCCCTGCTCCCATCTTATTTGTCCGATTTATTCATGGAGCTAAATTAAATCACAGCGTCCAGTTACCTACCGTACATCTAGTACTAAAATCCAACATCATCAATCTGCAAACTTCTTGCGAGCATCAGCAAGACTGAAAGTGATACTGCCGGCTGCAGTCTCTGTTTGAGGAGTTGGGCACAGCAACCTCCATGAACGTGCAGCTGGTCTGTTCCCCGATGGCCATACGCCGGAGAGAGAGAGAAGGAGAAGACGGGGAGAGGTGGGGCGGCCACGGGAGAGCGCGGGAGGGGGCTAAAACTGGAGAACGGAAGGAGGGGGTTCCATTTTATAGGCGCGGGGAGGGAGCCGGCAACGAGAGAGGCCGGAACAGAGGCGGGAATGGCGGCCGGGGTTGGCGCGTCCGTTCCCGGCGATTGGGGGCACGATTCAAGGGGGAAAACGGGGGAAATCAAAGAGGAATCAATGGAGATTAATTCCCCCTATTTAATTTGGAAAGAGCCGGCTTGAATGGGGTGGATTTGGAGGAGGAACAACGCTAAGGTTCACGGGAGAGAGAGGAAGGAGGCCGGCAGCTGGAGGTCGGGGACGGCCTGACAGGCGGGACCCACGCGGGAGGCGCGCGGTCAACGTGCGGCAACGGCGCGCACGCGCGCGCACGTGCGCGGCACGGGTGGGAGGCGCGGCTCGGCTTGGGCCGGGCGAAGCCGAGGCGGCCCAGGAGGAGAAGAGGAGGGAGTAGGCCGGGAGGGGAAGGGGAGGCCGAAGAGAAGGAGGGAGAGACGGAGAGGGAGAGAAAGAGAGAGAGGACTTTGGGCCAAACTTGGCCCAAAGGGAGGAGGGGGATTAATTTTAGGTTTTTCTTTTTAAGTAAACTTTGATCATAGTTGTTGTTGCTTAATAAATATTTCCGGTGCTCTGAAAATTTAAGTAAAATTTGAGGGCTCTTTTTAGACCAAGGAGAATTTAACAAAAATTCTCCGGGCTACATTTGAATTTTTCTTGTACGTATTTTAGTGTTTGCCAATTTCTTTTAGAATTTTAATTAATTCTATTATTCCTTTTAGAAAATGATTTTTATTTCGGGATGAATTTATTAGGACGTGACACGTTGTAGGTTCTCTGCTCAGATCTGCCTCTGACCTGCAATGCTTCGCCCTCAGAGGACGACGCATCAGACTGAACCATACCTTTCATCTTCTCCCTGTTTTGGAGCGCTTCATAAACTTCCGCTAGGGTTAGTTCATCACGACTTAAAAGTATGGTGTCACGAAAATTTGCATATGGAATAGGCAGTGAGCATAACAGTAAAAGACCTAAATCTTCATCATCAAACTGTACCTCCATCGACACTAGGTCGGCAACGATCTCCTGCAACTTGTGCGAGAACAACTTCATCTTGATATGCATCTTACTGGTTAGATTTTTAGACATGCAGATCGATTCCAGTTTGAGCCAAAGTTCTGCAGCAGTCTTTTCCTGCAACACTTTTTGCAAAATATCATTAGATAGATGAAGTTGGATCAGCGACGGAGCCTTACGATATTTCCGCTTCTCCTCAGCGGTCCACTCAGTCGTTTTCTTCTTCCCGAAGCTCTCCAGCGCCTCATCTAGATCCGAAGTTTGCGCCAGAACAGCCCGCATCTTGACTTGCCACAGCGAGAATCTCATCTTGTAGTCTAGCAGCGATAGATCATACTTCATCGACGCCATCGCGAAACCCTAATATGAGAACAAGCTTTGATACCACTTGTTAGGGAACGATAGGCGAACAAACGATGAAGAACAATAGATCAATCACAGAAGACACGAGATTTAATGTGGAAAACCCTCTCAGAACAGGAGAGAAAAAACCACAGGCGCCAGCCAGCAAAATTATCTTCACTATATGTGAGGTGAGGTTATATCGCCGCACGGCGGCTTACAACAGGTATATATATATATGTGGTGGAACCCTAAAAGGGATGATGATCCACTCCGCTACGGCAGAAGCTGGCCTTTATTAAGTACAAATGAATTTGGATCGCAACTAACATTCTTCTTCTTCCCCTTGCGACGGCGTCGAGGCCGGTGCCGTTGTCCCCCTCCCCTTCCCCTTACGGTGTCGTCGGGACGCGTGGCGCGTCGGATTCGACGTCGATGTCCCTCTCCGTCTTCTTCTTCCTCACCTCGCGGCGGTGGCTGCCGGCGGCGCCGGAGCTGGTACCCCTCTTCCTTAGTTATTTGCTAATTTAACAAATTTTTTTTTTGAAAAAAAATGTGTTGTTTTGCAGAGCGGTGAGCACGCCGAAGCTGCAGCCGTATCGATGCGGCGGCGGCAGCGGTGGGAAGACGGTGGGGAGGTGGCTGAAGGAGGGAATGAGAAGAAGACGGGAGGAGACGCGTGCGCACAACGCGCAGGTCCACGCCGCCGTGTCGGTGGCAGCGGTGGCCACCACCACCGCGTCCTCCAGCAGTGGCAGGGACGACCGCACTGCGCGCACCAACATGACCATTCCGTCCGCGGCGAAGCTGTTCCCCGCCCAGTGCGTCGAGGCCGCCGAGTCCCTCGGTGCCGAGCGCGACCACCTCACCGCCGCCGTCGCCTTCACTGTCAGCGTCCGCCTCCCGGCGACATCGTCACCATCACCGCCGCCGCTGCCAATGGGGCAACGGTTCGCCCTCGCTGTTCCACCCATTCACATCATCTCCATCGAGGCACCGTGATTGATCTTGTTCTTGATATCTGAACGCAGCATTGAGAGGCGTGGCGACGGTCAAGGCGAGGGCGTTCAGGGACGTGTGGAACGTGGCCGCTGTGATCCCCGTCGAGAAGAACGCCATCGCTGCCATCAACCATCACCAACACTACAAACACAACGCCCAGAAGCAGCAGCATCACCACCGCCACCGTGGCAACGGCAGCAACACGAGCAACAGCTTCGGCGACGACGACGACGACAACAACTTCCTCACCATCTGCAGCCAAGAACTCCTCGCCCGTGGCACCGACTCCTCAAGCGCACCCGCAAAGGTAACCTACCCAAACACCATTGATCATTTGCTATTCGATTCAACAAAATCATTTCGAGTCAGCCGAAGCGCTTGGTCAACATGCCACATTCGAAGGTTTTCACTCTGTTCGATTGGCTCATGATTTTGTTTCATTTCCATTTTTGTTTCCCATTCGAAGGTTTTCATTTTGTTTTGTGGAATTTGTTGTTTCGAATCCTGTCTGCTTGCCCCTAGATCTCGAGCTGCAAAGTTTGTGCGGCCAGGAGCAGGTACACATCGGGAGTGACCGATTTACTCCTTTTGCATTTTTTTTCATGGGATGGCGGATGGATGGAGCAATGGATCTCGGCGCCCCTGACCCGAACTGAATCTAGCACACAGCAGCTCAAAAGCGATCTGCATCCCGTGGTCCAAGCTCTGATCTATGCGTGGGTGATGAGCCCCATCGAGCTTCTGTTATTCGGACTCGAAGCTCTGAATTATTTAGGGAGGTTTGAACCGCCTTTTTGCTATTTGCTGCAACCTGCAAGTTCTATAAATTTGTGTTCAGTCATATTCTTGTTCTTGACCACTTGAGTCTTCTTATGCAGTAAAGTAGCACAAATCTGTCCATGATAATCTTTTTAGTGAGTTTTCCGTTCAGGAGCTTTGATATCCTGCTCTGTTCAACAAAGCAACTAAAAATGTGCTGCTCTATTCATAATGAATCCATCCTAGGAATTTTGGGGCTCTAGATTTCCACTATGTTGTTCTGAAAAAATGTTGGTGTGCTTGTTGCTTCTCATTCCCTCCGTCATTTATACCATATTAGTAAGTTTTGTCAGAAACATTTGATGGAGTAGCAGGTTTTTGAAAATTTCTGGTTCGACAGGGCAACTCAAATGTTTTCTTGTGTTGATTTTGTTTTTGCCATATAAGAGTAGCAATCTTTTCAAGTATTATTTGCAGGATGGTTATATGAGAATCAATCAATTGTTTTTTTTTACTGAAACGCCAAACTCTTCCCTTCAGCCCATCTGAACGAATTTTGCTCGTATATGGCCTTTCTGACGATATGTACGTGGTATTTTTTTTTACTGCATGTCTATAAATTTTTAGATACCCACGAGTGTATACGGTGTACCCCTGATATATCTGTGATATTACCCTAGAAAAAATAAAGAGATATCTGTGATATGTCCTGATTTTGTTGAAGAAAATGATGTAGCAAATGAAGAGCACCGGGTGATCGAGTTCGAGTGCAGCATCCATAGAGAGCATTGACATGTGAACCAAAGGGCATCGCTAGCCTCCTCGCCACCGTCGCCTGCCGTCGCAACCGCTTCGCCTGACCAACGCCGCCCGTCACCGGCATTGCCTGCAAGGCTGTTGTGATTTTGGCAGAAGAGGGGGCATGGATCATGTCACTCTTCACTGTAGCTGTTATTAGGAGCAGAAAACTGAACAAGATTCAGAGATGGTTTGTAGATGTGTGTGGTGTTTATTCCTCTTTTCTTTTTTTTTTGTTTTATGTGTCATGTAAGAAGTGTCGTTTTGTATCTTCTTATCTTTTCCGTTGTCTCTGATTTAACTTGAGGGGTTTGGGCAATGGGAATACAGACGGACAAGCATCATCTACATTTGTAATATGTGGTGTCTGCAGGGAATCATAACTTCGTAAGTGATTTTGCTCTTCCAGTAATCATGGTTTCACTCTATTATTGACAAAAACATGGGGCGAATTCTTACAGATTTTGCCTAAAAATTGAATTCAGCATTTTTTTTCTCAAACCTGGTTATTTTGCTGAGCGGTTTCTTGATTTCTACAGGCTTGATAAAGCCTATAACTGCGGTAACTTAGCTACTCCCTCTGTTAACTAAGTCAAACGCTTTGATCATTAATTTTTTAAAAACCTTGTTTAATTTAAGTAAGATGTGAATTATATATTGTAAAAGTATTGTTCATGGTGAATCTAAAACATAGATCTTACGATTTTTAATTAAGTTGATTTTTAGGAATTGATGATAGAATATACAAGTGTTTTATTTAGAAAAAGTTAAAACAACAAGTAATTTGAAACAGACAAAAGACTTTGTTAGCATGTGAACTTATTTAAATGTTCTTGTGTTTTTATTGTCATTACCAATAGTCTGTTTTATGTCTATTGTGTTCAATGATACCACAAGTGCAGCGCGGCGTGAGCCGCGCCAGCCCATCTAGTATGAATCAAATGGTGATAGTTACCTTCTTCATCCTTAAAAAGCAGAAAATCTACACATCATTTTTGGGCACAGATATGGAGTACAATTTTATTTACAGAAGGAAAAGCCGATCTTTGGTAGGACACACCATTAGCAAATCATGAAAATGGTACTCGTGTACATTTTTATTTACCAAGGGAAAAGATAGTCTGTATTTCGGCATTTCCATTCTAATACACTTTTACTTATTTGCTCAAGAAACGGTAGCAACCTGAGCTGTAGCCGCGAGCAGAAATCAGAGTAGATAGCTCTTGAGTATAGTTATGTGGTTTTTGCTTTTGCCAAGGCCTTCTTCCGCTGGGCGATCAAGTAGCGAAACAAGCGTGGATATACTGCACTCATCCAAATGAAACAACAACGCAGTGTGTTATCAAATCCTAATTGTTTTCATTTCAGAAATTCCTACAACTACCTTAAAAAAAATACTCCCTCCGTCCTTTAATATATGACGTCATTGACTTTTTACATTATATTTGGTCATTTGTCTTATTCAAAAAATTTAAGTAAATATTTTTCTTGATTTAACACTAAATGAAATTTAAGCATTATTTATATTTTTAAGATTTACACAAAATTTTTGAATAAAACGAATGATCAAAACTTGTAACAAAAATCAACGGCGTCATATATTAAAGGACCGAGGGAGTACTAGGTTGTAGCATCAATTACTAAATGAAGTACAATCCCATGGAAACACTACCTGGGGCATACAAAACCATGAAAAAGATAGAGGCATAGAAGTAGTTGAAGGAGAAATTCCATTTGTTGGGCATCCTAAGGCAGTATTTCCCAGATGCCTGATATTGCTCATGCAAAAGAAGAGCATTTAAACAAGATTTGTTATGAAATGGAGGCAGAGATCTTCCTTTCTAAGTTATTTAAGTTACCTTCATGAAAGGAAGAACAATGTAGATTAGGCCAACCTCACTAACCGTACCAACAGGAAGGCATACTATGAAGGTGCTGTACCTGCAAAGTAATTAGTATGGAAGTAACAGCAGCATATTTTTAAGAGAATTCGCTGAAGTTTATGCTACATATTATGATTTGTTTACGACTAGAGCCAACCTAAGCCATAAGAGCCAGGAAGGTGTAAATCCAAATGACTCCTTCATGCCATAGAAACAATATCTGGTAACCTGCAAGGAATTAGTAATTTTTTGTCTACAAAGTCATGCTCTGAAGTGAAGAAAATTTCATAATATTTGTTCAACTAAGCTCAACACAGGAACTTTCAAAGCTTGGGATTTTCTTTCAGGAACTTCAACAACTACTGTCATTTCAAGAAGCAGAACTATAATAAAATTGCATCCGAAATCCATGATCTTCCAAGTGAGTAATTTGGTGAGAAGTTTTAGGAAGTAACATATACCTCAGTGATGCACCAGCTTATGAGCAAGGAGGTAACAAAAATATGAGTGTGTGTCTGCAAAACATGTGGACAGTGATTCACCGATATTGTTTATAAATAAAACAATTACTTGATTAGAAGTTAAATACATGAAATAGGAATCTAGGAAAAGAACACTATTTTGTCCTTCTCCATGATGTAATTGCATCCGCTTCATTACTTAAGCAATTTCTGTAGCTTCGGTTTGTCCAATGCCTACTTAGAGTCATTTTGATCATAAATGAAAGTATGGGATATGTTCTAATAGCTGCAACATTACCTAACATCTATGTTTCATCATTCTAAGAAGTGCTTTCTAATCCAAAACTTGTTTTTTAAGATATAAACCTTCTTATAACTTGGAGTAAGGTCCTGATATTACCTCAGGGAAGCTCCACAAGATGCCCCAGATCATGAACAACCTTCCAGTGATTTGTGGAATAGTAGAAGACACTGGAGACCTCACCAACCCTTATTACTTATTATTTTCTTTATAAAGAAAGAGGATATCTCACCTACAATGGAGTGAAGAATCTGCACTACCAGCATCACCATCACCAGGCAAACAGCAAAACATAAAAAGTTTAGCGCCTCTCAATCTCCATGAGCAATGAAACAAAAAAAAGTTGTACAGCTGCATTCAAATTTACAGTTTTACTACAACAAAGGCAACAAGAGAAAAAAAAAAACAAACCTCCATGATGGCAGCAGTCTGCGCGAACAGCAGATGCTGCTCTACGGCAGCATAGACGGCCTCATATCCGTTCTCCAACAATGCCAATATCATGGACCACGACACCTGAACCCTGCATGATCCAAATCAAAGATCCTCGATCAAAACAACACCCTGTGTACAATCCAAGAATTGGCCAGCAAAGAAAGATGCTAGAAGTGAGATCGATATTCATACACAAGTCAACAAACAGCAGGCAGTAGAACTGACCATCCGATGAAGACAATCCAGTTGTAGAAAGAGAGGTAGAGCCTCCGCATCACTGACGCATTCCCTGCCATTGCAGAGATATGCGAGATGGAGGAAGACGTCGGGATGGTGGCTAATGGCTTTGACCGGGATACTCTGTTCCACCAATCGATGTGCGAGAGCATCACACTGTCGCAGCATCAGAAGCACCAAAATATACAAGTTTGAGCATATCTTATAGAAGCTTTCTCCGGGCACGATTTGATTAATAACCATATAATTTGGATCAAATCAGATTAGCAGCGCACAGTTGGCAGTTAATGCTACTGCAACAGCCAGCTACCCCGCCATCCATGTGATTAAGACATTTCGTCACAACAAACACTATTAAAAATGTTTGTACGAGACCCTCCGTAGATTATAAATGGACCTGAAAAATCGAGAGGATATTTTCGTATACGGTTTTTTAAGAGGCTGGCTCGCATGAAAAAATCGATTTTCACATGCAAAAATGAGGTCATCTGGCGTGGCTGGTGGCCAGCTAGGGTTTCGGCTTTTTTTTTTGAATTTTTATTTTTTTTCGCCGAAAATATTTTCGCATGCGGTTGGCTAAGGTGACCGCATGCGAAAATCCCGTTTTTACATGTGGTTGCGCTACCTGTATGAGAAAATGATGATTTTCACGGATCTTTTCACACATGCTGGTCGACCAACCACATGCGAAAATTGATTTTTTACCGTTTGGGAAAATCGATTTTGCAGCAGTGAAAGAAGGGCAGAACATAATAGATACATCAGCCGTTGTTTCTCATTGTGCCTTTTCTTTTCTCGTTTCCATTTTTCGCCTGCGTAAATGTAAGCCATATTATACTCATAACTAGGTGGCAGAAAAAGTTTGTTATCTGAGAGGTCACAAGCTTGATTCAAAGGTCATGTTTTTTTAATCAGTCTTTGAAAAAGAAGTTCCTTTACTATATTCTCAAGAACAGAATCACAGAAAAAACACGTATAGCTTTCTGCTCAAGGAAAAAGTATAAAGAAGCAGCTCAATAGCATGTATGCATCGAGGTCCAGTTAACATCAACAACCACCGTAAGTGATAACATATATAGAGATGTACTTCTGAAGAACAGTTCACATTAACAACTTCCCAATATCGAACTACTAACACTGTTCATCTAAGTAATGTGTGAAGTGTTAAAAAAGTGGCTTCAACTAACTGGAAAGCAGGATAATTTGTGCATGATATGATCACAAAAGCGAACATACTGAGAAGTGAGAACAACAGAGACCAAATCCATGCGCATGTTTCTTTATAAGAGATTGAGAGATTTACCAAGAAGAAAGTTCCCATAAAGTTTATGCACAATCCTCACCCCATGCAACTAACTACAATTGTTAACATTCATAAGGAAAGTGGAGCCAACATACTCCTTCCGTTCCAATTTATAGGATGTCCTCTTTTTTCTGAAAAGTTAAACTTGATAACTTTTTTTAAGAATAAACTTGATAACTTTTGACTAATAATCATACCAATCATATCTATATATCTGTAAGTGTTATGCATGCTATATCATTAGTTTCATATTCTAAAGTACTTTCATATGATGCTAATTTCATATTTGTTGGAAACAAAATATGGAATAAATTAATGGTCAAAGTATATCACTGAAGACTATATAAAAAAATATAGGCCTTATAATTTGGGACGGAGGAAATATTAGGAAGAATAAGAATAAGAACATGTTACCTACAACGGAGTGAAGAAACTTCAATGCCAGCAACACCATCGGCAGGAAAACACAAAAATGTTTTTTTTAATAAGAAAAAACAAAAAGTTTAATTGCTCACAATCTTTATGTGCGATAAATAAAAAAATATTATATTATTTTCTCGAATACGCAAGAGATCTACATATCATTCCACTAAAAGAGAAAGAAAGTGGTGGGTGAAACCCTCCACCAAGATCTTACAACACCAAACTCAAAAACACAAATACACGCCTACGTCTCATTGAATTGACTATCATGTCAGCATTTTTGATGATATGACAAAAAAAATAATAATGAAGAGGTGAAATGAGTTTCATCTAGATGAACCAATGTCTACACTGTTTCCGATACGATTTGCCCCTTGCATGTACTACCTATGAAATAACAAAAATAAAACCATGCATTGTATGAGTTATTCAATCATCAATTAAATGCCTTGTTGCTTATGTGGCATCCTTGGAAACATAAAAATGGTCTAAATAACATTGCTTTCGTACATCTTTATTGTGAGAGCACAGGGGGCAAAAATGCTCCAAGAACAGATCTAAGTTCTTCAGACAAAATATATGATGCTCCATAACTTCTGCTGCTTTACGTCGGAAGGCCATTCTCATTCAACAGCCAACTATATGGCTTAAACTATCTGTAAAAATGTTACACATTTCAGCAATTGGATGGACCGATGGATAAGAGTAAGGAAGAAATCAATAATGACTCATCTAAAAACAAGAAAAAAAAATCAAGAATGATCAGATACATTTGGCTCCATTCACTGATCTGGCCCCATTTCATCACATCATTTTCATAACAGTTACTGTATATCAATATGGTAAATCAAATGGTGACAGTAGCCTTCTTCATCCTTGAAAAGCAGAACATCTAAACATCATTTTTCAGCATCTATATGGAATATGGAGTACAATTTTATTTACAGATGGAAACGGTCATCTTTGGTAGAACACACCATTAGCAAGCCATGAGAATGGTAATCGCATACATTCTTACTTACTAAGGGAAAATATAATCCTCGTATAATTGTATTTTAGCATTTCCATTCTAGTACTGATCAACTCGGCATATCATTCGTTCATGGTCGACTAGATCGCCATTGACACCCAAGAGATGCATATTCTTCATTCTTTTTCACCCTTTCCCAACAAATGTTTGACGCAAAATGTAGTGGACCATGAAGGTGTAATGATAACGACTTTGTGAATTTGATCGGAATTGGTAGTTTGACATCATTCCTGTCGATGTCCCTAACACACATGTTGTTGATGTCGCGATACATAAGGAATTGGAACAGGAGCAAGGGCAAATTGACATGGGAAATGGGGAGCTTAAGTGAAAAATAAAATGCAACAGAATTCTTTTGTAGCAAAATCTATGTGACAATGCGAAAGTTTCTGAGCCTCCCAAGAGATGCATGCCATTACCCCTAGATAGTTTTGTAGCAGGATCGAACACAAAAAGTCAACCACAAGAGAAAATGGCGAGGGCATTCGACCGGCCAAAGTGTACCACTGCGCGACTCTGTGTGGCCGATCCATTGATCTCGACGAAAATGGAATGCTGCCTTGCCCTGCTGCCGATGGCCACATGGCCCTGGGCCATTACATAGGGTTTGCCCGTATGGTGGCTCCATTACTGGATGCAGCAGCATACGAATGAATATACAATACTGTTTTTTTCCCAGTGCCACCCATTCTCGATGTAAAATCCTCGCACATGATCTGTGTAGTGTGCATGCTAGGAAACTGAATAGAATGAAGAGATAGCAGGGGTTATTTCATTTGCCAGATAAATGGCCTCGGATAAATGGACAGAGGAAGCAAGCCTTGCATGGTGATCGGTATAAATAGGAGTGGAATGTGAATAAAATAATAGAAGTATCATAATAGGTAGGTGGCTCTCATAAGTTTCTTTTTTATAGAGAGTCAATTCAGAAGTAAGAAAGGGAGGTACATAACTCAAACAATAACCTTAGGTCAGAGAAAGAAAATTAAACCATGAGTAAATTTAGTAAACCTACATTTATCAAACAACCATAAAACTATATAAATTTAAAGTTGTATATTACAAAAACTACATATTTAGAAATAAATTAATCATTAAACTATACATTTAACATTGGGTATTGCAAAACTCTAAATTTAATAATAAAGTTATCAAACAACTAACGTATTATAGGCTAACGATGAGCAGGGGCGGACGCCACAACGTTCATGGGTATTCAGAAGAATACCCATTTTTTTACAAAATAGCTATACCCCATATCATCAAGTGTAATCAACAGGTGCTAGGTTCGATTCCTAGCTTCCTTCTCGTTTTTTCCCGATTATTCAATCCTGTTTTTGGATTTTTCTTCCATAAGCTCACAATATTTTTTAAGCATACATCCATTATATTTCAAAATCATGTTAACCCAACAAGATAAATGTTTTCATTCAATATTTTTCTATAGTTTATAACTTTTCTAATTAAGAAATAGTATTTGCATTGATGATATTAACCATATTTTTTAAAAAACAAATTCACCGTGTAAATTTTTGAATACCCAACTTCGAAATCCTGCATCCGCCACTGACGATGAGCCTAGGGCTTCAGCCAACAACCCAAAGTTGTTGGGTTGTGGCTTCAGCATTGGTTTGACAACAGTACGAGAGAGTCTAAATGTGCAGTGTGTTTGTTTTCCAATGCCACTCGTTCCCAAATGAACTTATGTAACATGAAGTGCTCCTGGACGACGTGTACATGTTGCAGAACAGGACCAATGCCTCATACAGAGCATGTGTATTGTCTCATTTGGCAGATAGATAGACAGATGGAGGATTTTGGAAGCAAATCAATCCTTGCTTGCATGGCGTGATAGTTGGTTTCCTGCAATGGATGAAGTAGAAAGGCAGATCGTGCATAGAACAGGAGGCAAGAAAGATATAAATATGAATGCACGGCTTCTCCTGTTCACTTTTATAAGGTGTACTTAATTTTTGGTAAGTTCAAAAAACTAAACTTTAACTGATACTGTATGAAAGTACTTTCTTAATTCAACAAATTAGCTGCGTAGTCCATCTGATTCATATTATAAGGCTCTGATCGATCTCTCAGTTGACAGAGAGATTTTAGCGCACACAAAACGTGAAAACTCATTAGCACATAATTAATTAAGTACTAATATTATAAAACTAAAAATGGATTTATTTGAATTTTTTAAACAACTTCTACATAGAAACTTTTTATAAAAACGCATCATATATTTTTTTTATAAAAACTCACCGGAAAAGAACACAGCTATCGCCCTTAAAAGGAGAGCTAGCTTTGGTGAATAACAAAAATTTACAGGTTCTTCTTAGCAAACTAAGTGACAGCTAGCGCGAAAAGCTTCCACTGGTGGAGAAATCATCTTTGGACGGTCGGCCTATTTTCACAATAGTCCCGGTTCCACTAAAAACCGGGACTATACGACTAAAGATCATCTTTAGTCCCGGTTCTAACGA